GCATATCATATAATACTAATTATCAAATTTATTAATGTATATTTGAGTTTTTTTCAATATAAAATAGTTTCTGCGGCAATAATAATTATCGACGGAAAATTTTCTTAGTAATTACTATTTTAAAAACCAAATATGTTATTTGAGGGGATATTTTTGTATGGTCCACAAATAATAAAAGTAAAATATATTGACCGTTTATTTATAAATTATTAAAGAGCCTCCTCTTTAATAATTTAAAAACTAATATTTTGAAATTTTTCTTGATGTACCATTTTCAGTAAAAAATTAGATTGTCTCATAAATTTCGAGACTCCTGCATAAAAACGCTCCTGAGGTGTGGGAAAGAGCTCTTATGATTTAAACTATCTTTAGTAATTTTTACACCCCTAATATATTCTTCTGCGGGCGTCCTTTATTACTGGACAGACATACACTATAAGTTTATATATTTATGAATTTGTTATTATCACTGTTTCTTTTATTTTGGTCGAATGTAATTCATACTTCTATTTTTTAGTCACCCAAAAATTATTTGACGGATGACAAAATGTTTGTTCACAATTAAATTAGTAACGTAATTTACAACGTGTTTTCACAATAGAAATGTATTATAATCTAATTTCAACATTTGTGACAATTCATTGTGTGACACGTAAACGTTCTTGGACAACATTGTGATTATATGATTTTTTCATTATTCTTTTGAATACGCATATTATTATGTGATATTGCATTTTCAGCACATTATTTGTTTCCCTTTCATATTATTCCGCATCATTATGAATAGGATCAATTTTTATAGTTGCCAATATTTTACAAAAAATTCTCTGTACTTAATTTAATTGTAAGTTGTAATACAGTTTTAAGTTGTTTGTAGATTATGCATTACTTAAATTAATTAAATTGATATCCATCATTATATTAATTACTTACATTTGTATAAATTATTTTGACTTGTAACTATTAAAGAATAATGCGTTTTGCCTGTAAATAACTATAAAATTGTAAAATCTTCTATTATACAGTTTTATGATAATTTTACTTGTAAACCTGTACAACTAGTGATGTAAAAATTTTCATGAACGTTTTTGAAATTGAATTATTTCTCTAGTAATATTTGATAATTATAACCTTTTTTATTAAAGGCGCAATTTATAGGGAATTAGAACACTCTAATTCTATAATAGACTCTCATTAATGAAAAATGACATCTGAATTTATAGAAGTATTACTAAGAACAAGTTAGGTTGAACCAATAAATATTTTGTCCAAATTGCCTTGATTTGAACAAAAAATTTGTTTTTCATAAATACCTAAAATTTCCTTTGGTCCACTTAATAAACATTAAACATGTTTAATTATTTTAAAAATCAAACCGTAATCTTTTGTAAATTATTTCTTTATACAAATCATACAAGTTAATTAATTTAATGGTAGCTATTCAATTCTCTTAATAATTAGTTTAAAAAAACACTTTTTGTCATTTTTTAGATTTTTATATTTATGGATTAATTAGTTGTTAATTACGTTATACCTTATATGGTATAAGGGTGTTGATTTATTTTTTTTTAATGACAACATACATATTTAACTAGCTTAAAAATAAAAAATGATATAATGACCAGTTGATAACATCTTTCGACCAATTATATCAGAAGTTGTAACTATTTTAAAATACTGTGTGGAGGTGAGGTGTGGGATATGTTATTATTAACATGACACATTGTTGCGCTCTTCCACCTCTCTATAGTTAAAAATGTAAATAATTTCATAAGTACTATTTCAAATGATGTTATCGGCCGATCATTTTCTTAAGTAGAACATTTCTATTTTCATAAGTTAGTTAATGTCTAATTTACTTATCAATCTATGTAAAAATTAGATTATAAATATAATATAGATCCATTTATAAACAGTTTACATAAATCTTATATCTTTTAAATGTTAGGAATATTATTTATTGTATATTTTAATATTTAGTTGTAATGGAATTAATATATACAATAAAATAAATATGTATGTTGTCGAATAAAAAAAGTAAACTAACACCCTTATAAGGTATAACATAATAAATTATTAATAACTGAAAATCGAGAAATATTTGTAGGACACAATAAACTTCTGAAAAAAAAATTAAAATAAGATGGGGTAATATTATGAAGTTAAACTTCTATGATTTTTATTACTTTTAGAATATTTAAGAGATTAGATTTATTTTGGTTACTAATACCAAAATTCGTTTGTTCTAAAATTACTTATAACATGTTAAATATGAATTTCTAACCGCATCCAAAATTAATGTGTGCGTACGTGTTTAACTATTGATGAATAATAGACACTACCACAAACGGCTTATGTATTAGTAAGGAAGTGTTGCTCCTTGTGATTGCTTTTGAGACATTATGAATTCGTCAACTTAATCTTCTGTACCTTAATCTATTTTAAAAAGTGAACATTTATAATTAATTTAAATTTCAAAATATGCCCGATTATTGATTATTATCAATTATCCAATCATGATTTTCATCAGTTAAAACATCTAGGATACAGTAATACAATTAGTTACTTTTACAACCATTAAATAATACTAGGTTTTTTTAAGCTAATTATTTTGTCTGAGTATTAAAATCTAAGTATATATTTTTAAACACGTTACTTAAACTAAACACACAATAGACAAACATAATCATTGAAAATGTAAATGGTTTAGTAAAATATTGTCATAAAATATAGTAAAATAATAGTTAAACGATGATTTACTATAAAAATTCACCTGTAATATCACTTTTTGAATTTAAGAAAATAATGTTACGTAAGGTATTTTCAAAAACTTTTTATTACAATAATTTTTAGTATAAAATACGATGTTTTTAAATTTTAATTGAAGTAATAATAAAAAATACCTAATAATTAATTGGATACACTACGATAATCAAAAATAAAAACATCCAACACAATCTAAATGAAGGACTCGCCTGACTAATATTTCTCTTATTTTGACAGTCAGTCCTTTATTTAGTATAACTTTTATTATAATTATGATATACGCCAAACACTTAAAAATAATTTTTTGTTCCATCTCTTATATCTTATAAGAGTGTCAACTATAATATTTTAAATTGCAACATGCATATTAAAAATTATCAAAAATTAGAAAATTATATAATGATTGATGGATCGATAACAACTTTTGGAACCAGTATTTCAAAAATTATTAACAAATAAAAGTAATAACTGGAGGTGATTCGCAGATGTATATAAAGTAGGAATTTGAAAAAGGACAACACGAAGTAGGTGAAATGAAGAGTTTAGTGGCAATAATCGAGTACGTGATAGGAGAGGTGAAAATTTTTGAATATTCCGAATTACTGATGCAAAAGAACGGTGGTATTGACGAGGATGTAAGACACAGGATCAAGTGCGGTTGAGTGAAGTGGAGAGAATCGTATGGTATGTTATGTGATAAGATAATTTCAATGAGGCTGAAAGGTAAGTCTATATGACTGTAGTGAGACCAACTTTAATGTATCATTCAGTGTTGAGCAAGAAAATATAGCAAAGAATGAGTGTATCAGAGATGAGAATGTTTAAATGAATGAATGGAGTGACTATAGAAGATAGGATGAGAAACGAACATAATATAGGAAGGAAGTATAAGTTTAGCGTTAATCGTGGATAAGATGAGAGAAAACAGACTTGGATGTTTGGTCATGTTATGATGAGAGAGGAATCAGAAGCTGTAAGAACAGTCATGGATATGTATGTTGAGGGAAGAAGAGAATAGAATAAGACCAAAAAAGATATGGAGGGATGTTATTGAGGATGGCTGATGTGTGTGTGTGTAGATGATTTAGGAGAACGTGTCAAGTGGAAGTTTAATATTAGGATGGCTGACCCCAAGTAGTTGGGGTAAAGGCGAGGAAAAACAAGAAGACTAAAGGTGATGCGCAGGTATATATCGACCTCACTCTTTTTGTCTAGTAATAAAAATGTTAATTGTGGCTAGATCGTTAAAGAATCGTTCTGTATATATCATTTATTAATTATTTACTGATGAGGGGATATTAATCAATGTTTTTCAAATGATTATTGTTTATTGTCGTGAAAGATTTTGTATTATTATATATTAATAGAATTATACAAGTATAATTCGCGCCTTTAAAATCCATAAATACATGGTCTGTTGGTTTCACACAGATTTGTCATCACACAAAAGAATCGTTTAAATAAACTTGAAATGTATTGTGGTTGTTCTTGTCAGTATAAAATCTAGTAGTTTGTATAAAAACGCCACTTTAGTCCGATGACTTGACGTGGTCAGTTGAACATTTTGTTTAGTACTTATTTAGTACTTAGCTTTTAATATATGTTTCCTTTCTCAAAATAACCCTCCATTATACCAACGTGTAATTCAGGTGAATTCACAAGCTGTATAATTTATTTTGTACCCTTTGCAATTCGTATATTTCAATCCATTGTATTTTACTTATAAGTACTTAACCAAAGTTAGATAATTTATTATTGAGTTCAACATCCCACTGATTATTCTCTGACAGTTTCACTTCAACCTAAAATCATTCGTGGCTGATTTTCGCATTGTTTCAGAGATTTGATTGTCACAAACACATTATTATTGTCGTCATTTAATTTATCATTTACCTATTTTATGGGTTGTTTTGATAAATTAATGCATTTACAAGTAAACTCCATTTGGCTTATCTTACCTTATGGGTTCTGTGACTCGACCATAGAGTTATTACTGCCGTATAACGTGATTTTTAAAAGTATACCAAATAATTCGGTCACCGTGTCACGTTTAATAAAAACTTGCAGGGGCGATAACCATCACCCCTGCAATGTTTTATAACAATTTTCAACTACAAAATTATTTCGTCGCCATAGATTGACGACTATATAATCTAGCAAAATTTTATTATTTTGCTTTGAATACATGATATATATATATATATTTGTATAATTTTGTTGTTTTTTTTGCGCAGGAGCTAAAAAAAATACTGGCCCATACTTTTTTGAATGACTCAGAGTTGCAACTCAAGCGGTTTTACGTGGACCGATGCAAGCGGCTTCCAGCGTTTGGTTGCAAACTATATTTTGTCAAGGAAGTTCAACGTGGTCGAACCAAGCGCAAGGTAATATTAATTATTTAAATTAGTATTAGTGTTGTATTACAAGAAATAATGATACCTCGTTTGTAATTTAACTTCCGTTTAAACTAAACATTTGGTTGTATACTTACTGTATTTTTTAGCGTTAACACATCTCTAGAAACACATATATTATGCACTAGCATAACTAGAACACTCTTATAGAGGGAAGCCTATACTCAATATTCCCGCTCTAAAAAATAAATTTATATAATAGTTAATATACAGGTGATCCAATTATAATAGTATACTTGAATACTCGTAAAATAAATACAATTCACAAAATTTTATAATGGTAACTGAAGATGAAATGCGACTTATTTTTAGCATTAGTAGTCATTTTCTGGTCGTACTCTTTCTCCATGTTATAAAAATGAGAATAACATACAAAGTACTAGTCCAAAAGTTATTATCGACCAGTAATTTTCTTAATTAAATAATTTCCTATTTTATAAGCTAGTTAAATATGTATGTTATAATTTAAAAAAATAAAGTTGACACCCCTATAAGCTTTAAAGGATGATTCTCAAAAGTAATTCATAACTGATAAATCAATAAATATATGTAACTAAAAGACCAAATTTTATTCAATATAGTTTTTATTTTGCTAATAATTTTTATTCTGTATATTTCATTATTTTTTAACTTATGGGGACTAAGTCCCTTAAATATATAATTAGATAGTTATATCATAGCCTATGTATACATACAAATTATTATAAAATAGTATTATTTTATTATTAATAACAAAATTAATCTTTCTGAAATTTCTTTTTTATGTATAAGCATTTTTTGACGTATAGGTAGTATTATTTAATACATTTCTGTTGCAGGAGTAGTACATATTTATACCATTAATACATTTTTCTTTAGTTAGGAACTATTAACAAATACCTTTAAGGCAATTGTTAAATATTACTTATTCCACAGTACACTATGTACATTTAAGTATATTGGATATTCCTACAATTGTTTTAATGTTTTTATGAACTTGATAATCTATAAACAATAATTAATTATATTTGTTTACTACACCCTTGGTTGTAGAAGTTTATGGTTTTATTGTGTCACAAACATTCTTCCGTGCTAAAGTATAAATCATTGAAAGGGTGTCTTTACAGATCTTATATTTAAAACGATTACCTTTTCTCTATGTAGATGTCCAAATTCATGTACTTTTTTTTGGAGATAATAATTGCTTTAGCACCGATTACCACCTTTTATTATACCCAACTACTGTACACAAAAATCATGTTTTATGCTTATAAGATATATTAGTTAATTTAAGGCTCTTGTTGTACAAATTTATATTTTCATATATAAAACAATGTACCCAATTTAATAAAATAATAATAATAAAAGATTAGATTATATATAAGAAAAATAGTTGGAAATAATTTTATAAAATATTATTTGATATCTCATTGATAAATACATTTTGAATAGGTTATTTTATTATGTTAGTATATTGTGAAAAACCGATTCTAAATTAACAATTAATGTAGTATTTTATTGTAATTACTGTAGATGGACTACTTTTAATTACTAATTAAAAGTATTGATCTATTATATTAATATATATTAAAATTTTTATAATTAAAAAAAAATGTACGTTGTTATTGTTGAATTTTAATAGGCTGCACGTCTGTTGGGTCTTAGTCTAGATAAAATTATATTGCTTGACAGTAAAACAAAAACTCTATCAAAGTGGCAAAATACTCAAGATTTACTTCAGGTAAGGTTTATGATTGTTTTGGTTATTTAAATTTACTAAAAACATCTTATGAATAATTTGTAATTTTAAGTAAAGCTATTGTGGATTTTAAAATGTTTCTATGAAATATTTTAGTGGCAAACTGGAACTGGAAGATCACGAGATAAGCTTTTCCTTGAATTTCGAAATTCTAAATGGACATTGGCAGTACCGACTGATAGGTCTTTGCGTGATGTTGGCGTTGTCTTATGGCAAATACTACAAGAAATTGATAGTAACTTTTTAGAATTACACGCCGTCATTGCACCTCTGAACCGTAACAAACCCATAGGTTTGTAAATATATCACTATATTGGTTAGGTGAATTTTTGACTGCGTACTTTTTTAAGCCGTATTTTTAAGATAATTTTTAAACTGAATTCTGTTTGCTGAAGTATTTTCCCTTTAACTATTTAAGATATTTCTATTTTAAGAGATTTTATAGTTTATTGTTATTATTAAACAGCAATATATTCTATTTTAATATTCTTTTGTAGAGGTTAGGAATTAACCTTAGTTTCATTTGAAAAACAACTAAATTGGTTATTCTTGGTGTTTTATTCGAATTCTTTCATCTATTGTTTTGGTCGATGATGTCAGACAATATCTTTTACAGGATCATGTATAAAACACGAATCAATGCCGTATTAAAAAAATTCACATATTTTGTTAAAACGTTTTAAATAATTGTTTAACTTTTTGTAACTTGTACGATTGATATAATTAATTCGAATAGTGTCTTTTCAACATCAATAATTATTGTAAAAAATTGGTTAATTCCAACTACAAAAATAGAAATATAAATTACTCATGTTTACTGCTATTACATTTTATTATATTGAAGTAATAATAAGAATACACATGCTATTTTTAACTGTAGCTTAATTTACCCTACGCTTTATACTAAATAGTTTTCGTGTCATTTTTCTTCTTTAAACTTTTTGTAAAAATTTTAACCTCGCTCAATTTGTAGAATCTAGAAAGATAAACCTGGACGAAATTTTTGCTCCGGAGTTGGATACATTGCGACGGATATTGCATTTCCCCGAAGAAGTAGCGTTGCTGATTTGTGAAAAGGAAAACGATTTATTTTACGATGTACCACCTCTAGACTATTTGAGACAGGTGACATTAGACCATGGCGGGGTTAATCCATGCAACACATCCGTTCGGAAGCTAGTGGAAAGATTTAACGCTGTGGGTTTTACCAATTGGCGGTTACTGAAGAATTGCATTCAATCAAATCAATAACAATAAATTATTATCATTTCAGGTGAGTTCATGGGTGACTCATCTTATAATAACCAGGCCGACCCACGAGGATAGAAAAGCCATTTTGTCGTGCGTACTGAGAGTGGCCAAAGAATGTTGGAACATAGGAAACTTCAATGGAGCCATGGAAGTAGTCGCCGGCTTAAAGTAATGATTCATTATTAAAAATTATTTATTTTATTATTACATTTTGACAGCTATCAACAATTAATGTTAGCTAATATTCAAATATTACTAATGAAAACATCGAATTCAGAATAATTATGTACAATACTTTTACTGTCTTTTCTATACTATATATATGCAACTTGTTTTTCAGAATTACTTTATCATAAAAAAATATTTTAAGTAATTCACTCAATATTCTTATTATTTTTTATCGTTTTAACACCAACTGTTGGTAATCCTCGGTCAAGGCGTCCTATTTCTCGGTTTGTGTTTAATATTTATCCATATTTATCCGGTCAATAAACGGCTTATTTTGTATTTGTTTTTAAATGAATTATTGTGTGTTGACACATTGTTGTATAACCTTTTTCTTAATACCTAGCTCATAGTTATTAGTCATAACCATAGTATCCACCTAGAGTTTACCTAGAAATACATCGTAGTATATTTTCACTGATTATCCTATAAAACATGCTACATTAAAATGTTTTTCAAGTTAATAATTAATCTTACATTAGAGAATGTGATTATCGTTTAAAACAATTTTAACAAATATTATATATTTCTTCTCAAAGGATTATTTAATGGTTAAGATTTTTTCTTAGAATAAGTAAATCCTTGAAATGTTTTAATTTTTTAATGAATTACTATAAGAAATAAAATAAGTTTAGGAGGTTAATTATAATGCAATATTACAACATAGGTATATTTAAGGGTCAAGAGATGACAGACAACTTGCTCAGAAGAAAAAAAACTATTACTTTAGTCTATTGTATCAACATAAGTAAATTTTAGTATTAAAAATTGTACATTTATTTTTTCATCTTTATTTGATATTTTTAAACAATGCTTAATTTATCATATTAGATCAAGATTAAAACCGTGTCCAAATTCGTAAGCTTTTTATCATTTTCTAATTAGAAATTCCGTGATACACATATAATGATGTGAAATAACATGTGTAAGCGAATGAGTTGTTTCAACTGGCCTTCAGCGGTTATAAAAACGCATGTTTGTAGGCCGGCAGAGACTGCTAACTTCGCTGAACATTATTCTTTGTTTTCATAGTGTTAATATAATCATATAAGTCTAAAAATATTTTGAACGTTGTTGAGTGTTATACTCAATGTTAAAGTGCAATTTTTATTTTATGCTATGATAATTATTTAAAATAGATTTTTTTCGTTTCTTTACTTGACAAATAAATTCAATTTTGCTGTTTAAAAATCAAGGTGGTTACATTTAAAACACAACACAGTGTTTAAAACATTTTTTTTTTATAAATTCTGCTAAAAATAATGTTTTTTATTCAAACAATAAAAATTATTTAGTCAAAATAATCAAAATTTACCTCCTGACAAAATTTAAATAATGATAAATACAACACTATTGAAAATCAATTTTTAAATTTAGAATTTATAAGACTTAAATTTTTTAAACTCACTAAAAACAAATATTTATTATGAAATACTGAAAAACCAATAAAACAATTGTTATTCTGAATTTAAAAAAGTTTGAGTATAATTAAAATAAATCAATTTTTTATTAGTACTACACTGTAATATTAAACAATTGTTTAAAATGTATCGCAATATTCCAATACCTACACCACATTGTCTATAGCTTGTAATATATTTGTATTGGTGTTTGGACATAAAAAATGACATGTAACATATTTTTGCTTTCAGGTCAGAAAAATTGAGACCATTTATGCAGTCTTTATTAGAAAAAGAAAAAGTGCCATTTTTGAGTTATTTAACCGACGCCCTTTTGTCTACAACACAGTACGAGAGTTCTTTACAAAAAGCGTTAGCGATGCGCGACTGTCCGGTTGTTCCGTTTTTTGGATCATTTATGCGAGACATAAGACAAATAATAAAGGATACGCCCAGTGCTTTAGTACTATCTGATCTAGAAAACAAAATAGTCGAAGAGGTACAAACATTAAAATAAAAACGTTGATAATTTTCTGTTAGTGTTGTATAGGAATCTATAATGCTATTAAATTTAAATAAGAACTAAATGAATTATTATTAATACGTATAAATGTTATACTATCATAGCACTCGAGTTATAATATTATCTTATGAGTAAATATTGTTCAGAATAATAATGATCATGGTTCATGTATTGATATCAATATCAATTGGTTTAAATGAATAGGTTATTATCGTTTATAAAATGATTGAAGGATGCTTTTTCGGAGAGGGGACCAAGAGATTTACAAAATAATAAACTTATAAATGGGTCGTAATAGTGCTAAATTAGTTTGGCAAATAAATTATTGTAACACTTGCTAGTATGTACATAAGCCAGATCTGGAAATTAATTGCGCCAAACACGGAGCGGTATGAACATAAAAAAAAAAGAGATTGAGCGAGATAGATCAATCTGTGGGGAAACCACCTTGATGCCGATTACGTCCTGTTGACCTCTACTGCAACATCGTATTATTACTCACGTACTATGTTATTATTCTTTGAGGACAACCCTTGTTAACGGTACAAAAAAAATGAACATAATAATATAATAATAATACCATGATATTGAAAGCACAACTAGGAAATATTTTCTTAGCAATTATTCGTATTTATACAATGTAAATGCCACTGAATCGAATTATGATTTATTTTACATATTATTAAATAAGCGTGGTTCACATTAATAAAACTGCACTCACATAATCATCTGTATAATTGATTTCGAAAGAAAAAATATCAATGCATGACATAGTTCTTAGTCAATTGTAATTCATAAATTAATTTACTCATTATTTTTTACAAATAATGGGATATTAGTGAAAGAATAATTTTAATAGAGTAAAGTTAATGCTTTCTTATACATTTTTTTGTAAATGACTGCTTTTAAAGTTTAAAGAAAAAAACAAAAATGTTGTTTAATAAAATATAAATATAAATCAATTAACAATAATTATCTTTATAAATTATTTAGACAAAATTACTCAAATGAAAATAATAAGTGAACTTGTATTACAACAATAGCCTTTGAAATTCGAAAATTGTGTATTGAAAATACTATTTGTCTGGGGTAAAAAATTTGTTATTTTTTAGTAATTAAAATTACTCAAGCTTACTTCAGTGATTTGTAATTTATTTAGTTATTTATTAGTCATTCAAATAAAAAGTAGAACTATTGTGACTGCATAGGACGTTTTTATACAATTTAAGGAGAGTGATTAAGAAGTTAATTCGTCATGCATAGTTCGAGGTCGTCAGGCTTTTACCTTATAGTCCATGCCATATCTAGCAAAACTGTCAACGTTATGTATTTATTCCCATAGAATTTATTTAATATATGGAATTCACATTATTAAAATTTAATACTTATGTGTGAGCACTAGGCTGTCCGAAATCAGCCAGAGTTTCACTAAGGGATCACTTTCTGGTCATTGAATCAATTATGTAAACGTTCTCATCCTACATTATAGACTATTACATTAACCATTTATTCTGTTAGTAGGATGTAGCTATACGTATAATCATTTAATATAGTTTATAAATTTTGGTTGGATTTAATAATTTGTATAATTTAGATTTCCATATTTAATTTGAATTTATAAATCTATATATTTAAACTGCGTGTTATGAAAACATTATTTAATGGTATATAATTTTTTTATATAGTATTTTTACAGCAATTATTGATTTATATTTCAGGTAACTTATGAAAACGATAATTTAGACGGGTATACAACTATGCTTGGGTTAGGAGGAATTATCAATATGGAGAAAATTTATCAAGTCCAAAACGTTTTAGAAGAACTATCTGATTTTCATAGGCATTATTACGAGAGAAAAACGAATGAAACCACCATGTAAATTAAAATTTTTTATGTGATTCTTTTAAGTTTAAATTTTCGACGGTATTTTTCAATCTATTAATTTTTTAAAAATAAAAAAGTTGACGAATTAATTTTTTCTGCAATAGACGTGTAAACGTGTAAAATTAAAATATTTTTACAAGGTACTCTTGTGAGATAACACTTTACATTTTATATTTTTGATACGATCTCAATGAGCTTTACACATATATTTTAAACACGTTTTTACTTTCAAAAATATTCTTTTGGAAAACTTTCAAAGAAGTTTGATAAATAATGCTAAACAGAAAACATCTAGTTAGATATTGTATTAAAATGATTGAAAAATCAAAATATTTTAATCGCAAACACGTTTTACCACACACTTCACTTAAATTATAATTCTGAAAGAAATTTTAAATTTGTTTTTATTAATAGGACTGTAAAATTTTATTAAAATCAACATAAAGTATAATTGTTTTATAAGCCAATTTATATTCATGCATAATGAATATTCATATTTTCATAAAAAATTTTTTTTTATAATTCAAACTAAAATAAGGTAATTAAATAAATATTTGTAAAATGTTTTAATTCAATAAATATTATTTTTTTAAATTTAAAATTGTTGATGCTAAATTTTTATTTTAATTATTATTTATTCAGAAAAATTAATTATTTTTCCTAAGACTTTTTTTTTGTAATTGCTAATAAAGGTTCGATCCACAAAATGCAGATTCGCCAAATGAACAGTTATCTCAGTCCGATAGAACTTATGTTCCCGTACAGGCATTAACATACGATCATGGAGTTTCATTGATTCCTCTAGGAAATAATTTTTCGATTGGTCATCATGATTTACAGGTAGTTTAAATCTAACAGGTTTATTTCTGTCGTATAAATCTTTTAATTATATTTTTAATATTAATTGAAATTATTTCACTCCTGTAGATCATGCATCATGGCACCACTGTTGTTCATTGGGATGTAGATGCCGGTGGTAATAGATCTGCTTTGATTTATATGCGTCTTGAAAGAAATTGTTCGACATTAACATGGAGCAAGACCTCTTGGAGTGCTTTAAAACTCTGTTCAGCAAATATGCCTGACTACTCATTGAGCACTGATCCAGAAGATTGTCTACCTAATGCACTTTTGCATAGGCCATCTGTCGACTGTTTATCATCTATAGGTAAAGAATATTAATTTAAAAGTTTAGATATATTTTAAATATCTTTTTAATTTTGTAAAAACACTTAAGAACTCATAAAGAAATAATGATTTTTAAATTATCGTCTAATCATCATTAAGATCATAATAAATCAATTAAATTATTAAAATCAATAAGAATTTAATGTATCTGAATGATGTTTGGGAATTGTTTATTTTCCATAATTGTACATAAAAATTATTGTTTTTAGCCTCAAAGGAAATTTTCAATTTATATAAAGAGTGTTATTATAAAATAAATATTTCAGCTTACATTAATAATTAAATTTTTACTGCTCCAATAAATAAAAAATACATTTTCTTACCAACTCTTTACAAATTTTATATTTGAAAACCGAAATTTGTACTGATATTCAAATATTAACTCATTGATATTAATAAAACATAATTTCAATAAAATATTAATCAACTATTATGAAACATTTTCTTATAATGTATTGTGCAAAATATTTTCTAATCTATATTGCTATTATTATATTTAATGATATATCAATTTTTTTTTTCAATTGTCTTAGTTCTTTTACTATAAAAAAAAATTCGAAATTTATTAATATCTTGAGAAACTTCATAAATATTAAGTTTTCAAATGTATTGTAGAAATATTTTTATAAAAATTGTTAAATGTGCACCTCCTTTTAGGACTTGATGAAGGGTTTTTAGAACTTTCGACCGTTAAAGATATGTTTGTTGGCGGATCAATTGGTAGAGATCGTATTAAGGATCCAGATTGTGCTGCTATTATGAGAAAGTACAATCTGCATAATTATTCCCCTTCAGAGTGTTGTATGGGGATAGTTCATGGAAACAGCACCAGCGAAAATCGTATATTTTATTTGTTAGCACCAAATAAAATTCTTAGGTATACTATTTTTTTGTTTATGCAATTTTAAAACTTTATTAAAGCTGTAAAATTAACAATTTTTGTAAATGATTCTGTCAAATTCTTTAACGCACTAATGCATAACTAATGATTGACGTGTTATCTTAATAAAAATAATTAGATATATTTACGTATTATAATATAAAGTATTCAATATATTTGTAGCTTATGGTACGATGGACTGTCAAAAGTCATTAAAAAACTCCGAGATGTAATAAGTAATGAAGACAAGCGCAAGATATGGCTAAAAAACAATTACGTACAACAATATATCACATCAGGTGGTCATGGACCAATGACAGCTGATGCCATCAGAGTAATTTATCTTATTATTATATGTATTTTGTTACTGTAAATTATAAATAAATTATTTCAATTTAAAAGTTCCTTTAATAAATAATAAAATATTCAGTTAATTATAAAATAATTATTTATTTGTTAAAAAATAAATTTAACCAAAAAATTGTTTTCTATTAAAAGTTTTTTTTTTTAATCAATTTAAGAGAAGGATATAGCAATTAAATCTATCCCATTTTGTTGTGTATAGTTATTTGGTGGTCGAGATTGGACATTAACGGGCAATGCAATTAATAATGCTTCGCCAGACATCAGCATTGCAAAACGGGCAGCGTCCATGCGTTTTCGTAAGAAGAAATCCGTTGCCAGTGTTTCAGTATGTATATATTATGATTGTTGACTTTTTAGTTTAGTTTAAAATATTGTAGTAAAAATATTTTAAGAACTTTAAAGAGCCAATCAACAAAAATTTCTTTTTTATTTCCAAATTAATGTTGTAGAAAAATCAAATATTTTGGAAATGTGATGTTTTTTGAAAGAAGGAAAATTCCTTTAAAAAAAAAAAACTAGTCACGTGGCAATTTTTGGTTTTTGTTCATTAATTATTTAAAGTATATAATTTTTTTGTGGATTTACCCTTTTGACAAGAGCTTCATATTTAATATTTATTCTATGAGCAACATGATGGTTTGCAGAATGATGGATTACTCAAGCCTTATGATGTCAATGAATTAATTAGTAAATCGCGATTGGATTTGGCTAGTAGCAGTGGAAATTCATTGACTTGCACTGCAAGTCAACAAGAAGACGACAAAAAGAATGACGGTTTGGATAAAATTTTGTTTGTCGAATCTGAAAATTCTGATAAGTGAGTCAAATTTTAAGAATAGTTGTGTTATTTATCAATATTTTCCAAAAAAGTAATAACATTTACCAATTTGTATGCAGCTTTTATCAATTATACTCTAGAATAATTAAATAATTCATTTTTCTTATGGTAGGACTAACACTACATTAAATTCTTTTGCTTGAAGTGCTTAAGGATGAAGATAAACTCTGCAATGAGTCCGAAACGTCAGAATTCAACTGTAAACATGGATACATCCTTCAGCACTTCAAGCAACTATACAATCCACAAAAGCTTCAACACATTCATAAATTATTTTGATTATATTTTTTTATAAAGTAATTATAAATGAGCGACCCAGAATCCAGAAGTATTTGTTTTACTTTCCATTAATATGTTGATGTGAATTTACAATATATTAACCAATAAAAATAATATTTTTTTAGGTTATACAAACAACCAAATGAATCACCATTGAATATAAGTGATGGTCATGTTTCACCTATACCACCCAATAATACGCAATTAGATTTTGAAGATTTTGGATTACTTTTTGAAAGTTTTAAGTAATGTTTTGTTGTATATATTTTATAATATACTTCATTTTAATAAACAATTTTTGTTAATGAATTGTATCTCTAATTATGTTAATAGTTTTTATATAAATAATGTTTATGATATATTGTTAGCTTGCGGATGCGAAAAGATCTTAGAGATCTATTTGATCAAATGAGAACACCTGGTTGCAACACTCCTTACAAAGCATCAGATGACAATACAATCCAAATTGAATATTCTAAGTCTAGAAACATATCTGAACAAACTCACTGTAAGGAAAACATTTTTTTTTTTTTAAACATTATGCATAAAACTAATTTATTGAAAGTTTATAAGAGCTTAGCAAATTTTTGGTCCATTCACATTATGAATTGAATCCGTATTACGAATTGCTAATTTAATCTGTCAAAACTTTTTGCATTATTAAAAATTAAATTAATATTAATTAATCAATTACAGATGTTGATATAATATGATTTTATCACTTGTGGCTAATATTACTTAAAATTAATATTTATTTTATATTACAAAATGATTATTTTATGAAAAAAACAGATTCAATTCATAATTTGGAATCTTCAGATTGGCGTAATTTTTTTTCAATTAGGATTTCTGTCTTAGTCCTAATGTTTATAACAGTATAAACTGAAAGTATTTCTTCAAATTTATCTCACAATATGAAATACAATAAATGAATAAATATTATTTTAAATTTAACATGTTTATTATTCACTCATCATGAATAACTTATTACTTCTACAAATAAAAAAACTTCTCTTTATTACTTAAAAATAATTTTTATGTCCAACCTTTTTATACCTTATCAGAAAATAACTATATTTTTAAATGATAGCTTACGTGTATATGTATACAGAGTTTTCAAAAAGTAACAATAATAATCAATTTTTTGCTATTAAATACATACCGAAAACCTTTAAGTTAATCAATTTTTATCTATTTATTCTTAAACTTATTAAAAGTTTTCACTATCAATAAAGTACTATATTGTTTGAAAAATAGAAACAGATATGAAATTAAATGTCTTAGGTGTGTATTTTTTTCAAAAAATATTAGCTATGAATGTGCAAAAAACATATTAAAAACATAAAAACAATTTTTATAACATATAATGTTAACTAAATGTTTTTATAACAATATTTTTTTTAATTGCTATCTGGGATGCAGTATAAACTTCTTTGCGGTGAAAAGCCTTAAGCAAAACTTTTTTTTTTTAAGAAAAACTGAAAAAACTTTATTGCTTGATCACTAAATAACAGATATGTTAGGTACAAAAATAATGATTTTTTTTTTACTTATTCCTATTAAGATACTTTTTGGGGAAAAAGTTTAACTAAAGACCAATTTTCAAGATGAAACATAAATAAAACGTTTCTATTAAATCAAATGACAATGAAACTTCCTAAGATTAATTTTTCATGGAAAATTATTAAACAAATAGATACACCAATATCATATTTTTGTAAAAACTATAAATTAAGCATTTTACCTATTATACTTCATGTATATTGTTTTATATTTAAAATGAACTAATTTTGAAAATAAATCTATATTATAGCTAAATAGGTTTAAATATTTGTCACAAGGAATTTCTTAGATATTATATTTTGTGTTAAAATTTTTTCATAAAAGAAAAAAATAATAAAGGTTTTGAATGAATAAATATATTATTACATTATAAAATAAACATGTTATATCTATTATACATGAAATTGTATACAATATTATTATTACTAGAATGTAAAGTTTATAATATATTTAGTTATTATATTATATTTACATTTTTAGTGTCGGAAATAACCATGAAAAATAATAACAGCATTGATAATTTATATACTATGAATACTTCAGTTCAGAAGAAACGAATTTTTGATGCAATCGCAGCTTCAAGTATTGTGTCTAATTGTGCGGGAGTAGAAACATTTAAACCAGTTGCTGCTTGGTCAATGGGAGATTTCTTGAATTTTATGGAAAATAAGCAGATGACACCTTGCACTGAAAAAGAAGCTCGGCATATTATTCAGGTTAATTAGTGTGTAATTAACCTGTTATGAATCTGATTATTAGACGAGTTTAGTCTAACTGTTAAACCATTAAAAATTATGCATGATATTATTTCAATTAAATTCTGTCGTTAATTTTTAAAAGTTGATGTGTTAAGTTTAGCATTTTTTTTAGAACAAAAGCAAACTTAAAATTTCAATAACCTCTTATGAAAATCTAATTTATGGATAATAAAAAACAAATATTCCTATTGAAACTTAATTGTAATTGTTCAATACACTGTAAAAATATCTTTTTATATTTAAAATTTGTGCAATTATTTTTATTTGATTATAAAAAAAATTTTAAAAATCCATTTTTGTGACATAAGTTTTTAAATGTAAACCATAAAATTATATTTCAAATTAGTGTTGAATTATGATTGAAAAGTACAAAAAAATATTAATAAAACATTTTTTAAAAGTTTTAAGTCAATATTATTTTTATATTGATGCAACCATATTTGTCCATTTTTCAGAAATTTGAGCCTGATCCAGAGATTAGAGCTCGAGATTGCCTATCCTTTGAAGGATTTGCCAAGTACATGATGGATCAAGGAAACAACGTGGTTTCTGAATCAGAATCAGTTGTAAATGAGTCTATTATGAATTTCCCACTTTCTTGTTATTATATAGCCTCATCACACAACACTTACCTAACCGGACATCAGCTAAAAGGAGAATCATCTGTTGACCTATATAGTCAAGTAAGTTATTATTTAATAATTTTTCTTTAAAATAATAATTTTCCATACATTTTCTTAATTTAAGGTATTATTGGCTGGTTGTCGCTGTGTTGAACTAGATTGTTGGGATGGGGATGATGGATACCCATTAATTTATCATGGGCATACATTTACCACTAAAATATCATTTCTAGGGGTAGTAGATGCTATAAATAGACACGCGTTTGTTGCCTCTCCGTATCCTGTCATACTATCGATTGAAAATCATTGTTCACTTGCACAACAAGCAAGAATGGCACAGATATTTCAAGTAAATAATAATTGAAATCATAACTTTTACTTTATTTAAAGCAGTGTTTTGTAGACATGTGACACATTACTTTGTTTCCCTCAGTCGTACACTACTTTATCAGCCTAAAAGTGTATCGACATATGAAATATAAGTGCGTGGTGGCCTAGTGATAAGGTTTGTCTCATTGACGCCTAGAGTTGTAGGATCTATACCTGTACCGTGCCTCGTTTTTCACAGGACTTCTTATAAATTTTTGATGAATTCTCGTCAATCTCCAGAGTCACATTTACTTCAATATGAATTTTTTTTTTTTTAGTTTATCCATAAATATAAAATTGTTTGAAATTTTCGTTTTAATCTAACTTATCTTTTAATTATGTTACAGAATGTTTTTGGAGAAAAACTTGTATCCGGTTTCATGTTTGACACGGATTATGAACCACAATTACCTTCTCCTAATCAACTTAAGTACAAAATTCTTATTAAGAACAAGAAAATTGCTTCTCCAGGCTCAGATGGTCGTTTGCGAACTAACAATAGTTTAAATAGAAGTTCTCAGGCCTTAATGCATCATGCTAGCTTACCTCCACACAGGAGTAGCTCGACTAGTGCTGGTACTGATGATGCTATCGCCGTAGTTGAAGAAGAAGAAGACGATGATGACGAAGACGACGACCAGGACGAATATGATGAAGATGACTTAGACTTTAATAGTAAGAACACTTTTAAATTTAATTATGCAAAATTACTTACTTTATAATTATTTGATAAAATATAAAATGTAAATATATATATATATGTATATATATTAGTAGTTTCGATGTTAATTTTCTTATTTTTTTAGAAATAAGGATAGACAAAACTGGTAGAATTCGTCATAGGTTTGGCTCAAAATCAAACGACAGATGTGTTGAAGGAGAAGCACATGGCCAAAAGTATAAAAAACATAATAGCCAAATAGCAAAAGAACTCTCGGACATAGTAATTTACGTCCAGGTAAAAAAAGTTAATTTTTAGACTAAATAATATGTCAACAACACTAATAGTTATTTTTATAATTATTAAGTTTATCATCAATTATTGATGATACTTTAGGTAAATTGAAAGTTGTGAATTATAGATATATTTTATTATAAATTATTGATTATTTTATTTATTTTTGCAGGCAATTAAATTTCGTGGCTTAAATACAATTAGTCCTAGTAGTTCGGTAAAAAATAAAAGGTCATTAACTGAATCCACTAGTGCTCCAATGACCAGTACAACTTCAACAATCAGTGTTACGGGTTGTGATCACCCTCTTCACCGCCCTGGTACTGTTTTAAATGCTCATCATCCTTGTTATCGATGTTCATCATTAAATGAAAATTCTGCTAAAAAATTGACAAAAAAACGGCCATTGGACCTGATTGCTCATGCCGAAACACAGTTAGTACGAGTGTATCCAGCCGGCATGCGTATTGATTCATCCAACTTCAACCCAGTACAATTTTGGGCATACGGAGTCCAAATGTCAGCTCTCAACTATCAGACGGACGAAGCAACGGCCACTCACCTGAATGCAGCAATGTTTGAACGTAATGGTGGATGTGGATATGTCCTTAAACCGCAAGTAATGAGAGATCCTTCTCATGTCATGTATCGCCGATTCAATCCTCTAGATAAAGAGTTCGATGGTTTACATGCCATTCGACTATGCTTAAATATATATTCAGGTCAATATGTGTCGCCATCTACCGGCCCCAGAGCAAACGTTCATGTCGAAGTCGAAATAATTGGTATACCTGCTGACAATATAAAAAAAAAAACCAAAACAGTGTTTGGCAATAGTATGAATCCCGTTTGGAATGAAAACTTCACGTATCGCGTGAGATTCGATGAACTTGCATTTGTTCGTTTCCTTGTTGTCGATTCTAATACTAACCACCCCTTGTGTCAACGTGTGATACCCCTCAAATGTCTGCGACCTGGATATCGACATGTAGATTTACGTAATATGCAAAATAGATCATTGCCACTTACGTCTCTGTTTGTTCATATTCGCATTGTTGAGGATAGCGTGAGTTCTTTAGATGAATGTAGAACATCGTCAGGTACTACCACTCGTGGATTTGGCTCTTTAGGGTCTACCGCTACCATTGATAATGATTCATCCTACTTATATGGTACAACCCCACGTAGAAAAACGTTCTTTTTAATGGTGTATGGAGTATTCTCTGAAGAAGCGTACACTGTATTTAAAATAACTCAAGATAGCACGGTTACAGATGTAATACTTATGGCGCTTGAAAAGCGCGAAGAACGAGTGGATGATATTAAAGGGTACGTACTCCTTGAAGAAGTAGGACTTACATGGGATGCTATACAACAAGGACCATCTAATGACAGTGGCGATGAGATGGTTTCTCAACGTGAAACAGATGGTATCAAGAGTCTAGACAAAAATGGTGGTGGTAGAAGTGGAAGATTTCGATACAGTAGGAAGAAGAAAAAGAAAAAGAAAAAGAAAGAAAAGTTCGCCCGAAAATTGTGGAATAATGATGACGTTCCAATGTTCCAGCGTGTTTTAGACTATGACGAAAAGCCACTAGAAGCCCAAGCACGATGGCAAGGCGATGGACATTTTGTTTTAAAGAGGATTGGTGACGATCCAAGTAGTCGCGCCTGGTTGACGTCATTACAAGGTCGTAATGTAGATATGTGTCGTACTGATCGATCGTGGGATGATGCTCATACATTTTTAGTGTGTGTTTACAACGTAGCTGAAGACATACCTTATGTGATACTCAAAGTTCCTACAGGATCGACAGCACAAGATGTATTGGCACAAGTGTTGGTTAAGGCCCGTCGCATGGAAGATCCAACATCGTTCATTTTGGTGGAAGAATTAGAATGGGATGAGACGGACATAAGATATAGAGTATTAGGTGACGATGAAGTAGTATATACTACGCAGAGCCGATGGTCCAGATTAGGCAGGTTTGTAATGGAAGAGCGAGAATTAAAAAAGGAATTTAATAGTAGCGAAAATCAGGGAATTGTAGAGTTAACAGCGCAAGCATTAAGTAAAATAGCAAGAGTAATGAGATTACCTGCAGGTTTAGCGGCCGTTGGTCGTAAATGGCGAGCATGCGGGTTACCTACAATAGCAGGTCATTGTCTTCGGAGGCCTGAAAACTGCCGTGAGACAGTCATTCAAGAAGCAGCAAGGGCGCACAACAAAATGTTAGAAGCCCGAGCACATGTATTACGGGATAATCATGGAGAAGGCGGTGGCCTAGAGCGAGCAGGTGATTCATTAAGCTCTGGAGGAAGATTTTCAGTTCCAGCAGTGAGACTTATTACGTTTTGGAGATCCTGACCCGGGTATTGGTGCACGAGAATGGGTTACAGTGAATCCGCTATCGTTGGCACCATGGTTTAAATTATAACGGTTTTCCTATTTTGCCTTTAGGCGACTTCTATTACTTAATCTAAACTTTTATAAGTTTTATTTATTTTAATATTCATCTTATAATAATTGTGAAATATCATTACCAATAAACCAATACATATCCCTTGCTGGTATTTATGGTCAAATCGTTTTCAGGGTGAACAAATTAATTATATAGTTATAAAATTATATTATCACTCAAACGAGTGAATCAAAGTATTTTATCTTACCATCGTTTTGTTGTCATATGTTTATAAATATAATATACATATTCACTGTACATATACACACTTGTAAAAAATTAACAAGTGAGTTGCTAAGTTCTGTTGTGCGTTGTCAATCATTTTTTTACTTTACCAAGATATTTTGAAAATTCGTTCAAAAATATCAAAATGATTTGGGTCGGAACTCAACTAAATTAATTTTATATTTTAGTCTATAAACAATACTCGTATATCTTTTTCTGTTTATATCCTTTTTACTACTTTATACTTAAACCAATGATATTTGAACCAAAATCGACGCCATTCTAGTCATTTTATCGATACGACTAAAATATTATTAAAATACTGTAAGGTTAATTACTGTTTTATATTTGTTGTTTTTAAAAGTGTACTAGTGTTATTATTAATTTCATCTGAACTACTTAAAATATTTTTATGAGATACACTAGAGTAGATGTTGATATTTATTACAGTATTTTAAGTCTAGAAAATTTTATAATATTTAATTATTATATATTTATATTAGTTATAAGCACACGCTATTAATATTTAAGTAATATAAATTATTATGAACCTTCGAATTTTATCTCGTGTGTTTTAAAATGTATCATAAAAAATAAAAATTTGTCATCTTTTGTCATATATAAACAAAAATGTATATAATAAAATAATTTATATTTTTTTTTTAAATAAGTAAAAAAGTACCACAATTCATAATGTTTCTTGGTTCATTATAAATATATATATAACATAATGTTTAGCGTTTATTATTGTAAAGTCCCTTGCAAAACGCTTAAAGGTGTACATTTAAATATTATTAGTTATATAACTTTTTATGCTTATTTTTTGTTCTTCTGTAATTAAATTATTTTAAGTATAAGATCCACATATACTCTGTAAGTTCATCACAATTTGTATAACTTATTCATTTTACTTTTACTTTAAGACATTGATTTTGATTATGAACAAATTTTATTATTATTAAATATTGGATCTCTTGAAAAAAGGAAGTTAAAAGGCTGTCTTTTAAGTTTATTTTTATAACAAAGAAACCCTAACAATTTTTTTCTTGGTTATAATCATGAAAAGTCTATAACACCAAATAGTTGTTAGATTTTAATTTATTTGCATATTCATTTAACACACAGACTGATTCTAAAATTTAATATAACCATAAAAATAATTATTCTTTTGTATATTTATTACTGAAGGTTGATTTAATAAACAAACAAAATTGTACAAATAAATTAGATTATAAAAACTTATATAACTACCGATAAGTTAAGGTTGTTTTTGCATGTACTTTTCTTTATTTTTAATAAATCACAAGATTAAAATGAATATAATTAAAATTTTATTTAATTAACAAAATTAATCGTTCAATATTTAGTTATTACATGAATGTTCATAAATATAAGCTATCAATCACAATGGTGATTCAGTGATGTCCGTTGCACTTTCCCAATGTGAAGTGGACGTGAGTTCATTGATTGAGGATATTATTTGATATGTATGTGATGAACTTAGATCAGTAGATGGACTTACGATAATTTCAGGAACATCATTAATATTTTTAACTTGCGAAAATGTATTTATGATTCCTATACAAGTGTATACAAATGTATCAATAAAGTATAACATAATTAATTTTGTTTATTTTTATGACATTATAAAACCACATTATTAATCATTAAAAATTATGAATTTACAATACTTTTTTTTATAAAAATCAACTTTCTCTAAATTCACACATAATTTATTAACTATTTATTTTATTTTTACTTATTGATAGTTTTTTATGGAATTTTGTAGAATAAATTGTTATTAACACCCCAATACAAACTAAATGTATAGTTAAGTGGCGTAATTAAGGTTTTGACTCTGGATGAGAAAATTGTTCGCTTCCTTCTCAAAACGAAAAAAATTGTATCTTTACCATATTTTTTTCATGGTGAGATACCCTTATAATATATATACACTCTTATCTCCCCCTAATTACGTCAGTGGTATAGTTGGATATATAAACCTGAAATGATGAACTTTTGTATGGGGTCCAGATGTCTCCATAACGAAGAGTAGTGGAATAATGCACCTCTCCACTACCCTTCGTTACTATGATTTTATTTTCATGAGGAGCCCAAAATTCATGAACCCTCCTCGCGAATACACCTCTACATACTTGCGTGTAATTTCTAATTTTATAATTATTCGTAACGAATATCTAATTGTGTAGGTACATGATGTCATAACGTTCACTAAGTTAATAAGAATAAATTATATTTATTATAATTTTGTATATTTGAGTTTCAATGATACATAAAAAATACGAAATTAAAATTTGATATTTTAGTTTCGATGAAAGCTGAGAAAGTATTGGTTTTACTATGATGTGTTTTTTTTTGTGTCTGTTATCACAAATCGTATCTAGTCGAAGACATTACCCTCAAAAATTAAAAAAGATACCTCGTTCCCCGTAAATAGGAGAAATCTTCCCAAAAATTACAATTTAAAAAATCGGTAATTTTCAAAGTTTTTTTCATAAATCTGCCATAACTTTTTTAAAAATGAACAAATAAATACAATTTTTTTTATATAGATACCAACCTTAGGTATAGAAGTATCATATGATATATTTTTGTGAATATTTGAATCTTTACCTGCCCACAGGGAAATTTTCAAAATGGCAAAAAATTAACATTTTCAACTTTAATTTTAAAGATATTGCAGAAATACTGTCACTTTTATAAACATCTTAAATTAAAGCATATGTAATACATTTTATTAAAAAAAAAAAACGGTAGCACAGTGGGGTCGCGGCATAGTGGAGACATTGCATAGTTGGGTTCAGTCTAGATTTAATCTGACAGTGATTAAAATCACTATCATAAGAAACGCTTCGATGCAAATCTGTAGATAGTGTTTAATTTTAAAAAATTGATGGATAATTGCAAAAGCAACATCAACTTCTATTAAAATAAAATACAAAACCCATAATTTTCATACAAAAATAGCATATTTTTGAATATGGTAGCCATTTGCGTATAGAAGATAGGTCGTCGGGACAAATTTTTTTTTTTCATTTTGTAGTACATAAAATAAGCTTTAATTTTATATATGTTTAAAGGACGCAGTATTTCCGGAACATTATCAAAAATCAAGTTGAAAAAGTTATTTTTTGTAAAAAAATTACTATTTTAAATTCCCCCAGTGAGCAGAATAAATGTTAGATTTTCAAAAAAAATTATATCAAATGAAAGGGAAATATCTAAGGTTTCAATACAAAAAAATATAAATATTAATTGTTCATTTTTGAAAAAGTTATGGCAGTTTTAAGTACAAAAAACATCCCGATAAAAGGTCATTTTTATCGCAAACATTACATTTTTTTTTAAATTTTCGACAGCCATTTGCACATAGAAGATAAGATGTCGGGACAAATTTTTTTTTTT